GACGAGTTGTGAGATGACATCAAGGGCATGATACATGAAGAAAGCAAAAGGTCATTAAAAAGACAGGAAAGAAAGAAAAGGTCAAAATGGATGTCAGAAGAGACTCAGAAGCTTGCCCTGGAATGTAAAGTAGCTAAACCAAAATGAAGAAATAATGAAGTAAAAGAGTGAAAAAGAAGATTTCAAAGGGCAGGTCGAGAAGACAAAGTAAAGTATTATAATGAAATGTGCAAAGACTTGGAGTTAGAAAACTAAAAGGGAAGAACACACTTGGCATTTCTGAAGCTGAAATAAGTGAGGAAAATATTCAAGCTTCGAGATGCAATATTGAAGGATTCTAGGGGCAAAATACTGAACGACACAGGAAGCATCGAAAGAAGATGGAAGGAGTACAGTCATCATACCAAAAAGAATCGGTTGATGTTCAACCATTTCAGGAGATGGTATATGATCAAGAACCGATGGTATTGAAGGAAGAAGTCCAATCTGCACTGAAGACACTAGCACAAAAAGAAAGAAAGAAACAAAAAACCCCAAACCCACTGCCATTGAGTTAATTCTGACTCACAGTGACCCTTAGGACAAAGTAGAACTGCCCCATAGGGTTTCCAATGCTCTAAATCTTCTCAGAAGAAGACTGCTTCATCTTTCTGTCACAGAGTATCTGGTGTGTTCAAACTGCTGAGCTTTGAGTTAACAAGCAAATCCTTTAACCACTTTACCACCAAGGCTCTAAGAATTGACGAAATACCAATTGAAATGTTTCAACAAATGGATGCAACACTGTAAGCACTCAATTGTCTATCTCAATACATTTGGAAAACAGATATCTGGCCAACTGACTAGAAGACATCTGTATTTGTGCCCATTCTGGAAAAAGGTGATCCAACGGAATGTGGAAATTATCGAACAGTATCATTAATATCACAAACAAGTGAAATTTTGCTGAAGATAATTCCAAAACAGTGGTAGTACTACATCAACAGGGAACTGCCAGACATTCAAGCTGGATTCAGAAGAGGACATGGAACAAGCAACATCATTGCTGATGTCAGATGGATCTTGGTTAGAAACAGAGAATACCAGAAAGATGTTTATCTGTGTTTTATTGATGATGCAAAGGCATTCAACTGTGTGGATCATAGCAAATTATGGCTAACATTGGGAAGAATGGGAATTCCAGAACACTTCATTGTATTCATGTGGAACCTGTATATAGACCAAGAGGCAGTTGTTGAAATGGAATAAGGGGCTACTGCATGGTTTAAAATCAGGAAAGATGTGTGTCAGGATTGTATCCTTTCACCATACTTACTCAGTCTGTATGCTGAGCAAATAATCTGAGAGGCCAATCTATATGAAGAAGAATGTGGCATCAGAATTGGAGGAAGACTCATTAACAACCTGCAAAATACAGATGATACAACCTCACTTGCTGAAAGTGAAGAGGACTTGAAGCACTTACTAATGAAGATCAAAGACTACAGTCTTCAGCATGGATTAAATGGATAATAGAGAAAACAAAAATCCTCACAACTGGACCAACAAGCAACATCATGCTAAGTGAAGAAAATATTGAGGTTGTTAAGGATTTCATTTTACTTGGATCCACAGTCAACACCCATGGAAGCAGGAGTCAAGGAAGCAAAAGATGTACCGGATTGGGCAAATGTGCTCCAAAAAACCTCTTTAAAGTGTTAAAAAAGCAAAGATGTCACTTGGAGAACTAAAGTGATCCTGACCCAAGCCATGGTCTTTTCAATTGTCTCAAATACATGCAAAAGCTGGACAATGAAAAAGGAAGACGGAAAAAGAATTAATGTCTTTGGATTATGATGTTGGAGAAGAATACTGAATATACTACAGATTGCCAGAAGAACAAACAAATCTATCTTGGAAGAAAACCAAAAACCAAACTCACTGCCTTCGAGTTGGTCCCGACTCACAGAGACCCCTCCTTGGCTTTCTGAGTCAGCATCTCTAGGGAAGTAGATTGCCCAGTCTTCCTTCCAGGGAGTGGCTGGAGGGTTTGAATCGCCAGGCTTCTAGTTAGCAGTCAAATGCATTAGGCACTAATACTCCTTAGAAGTAAGGATGGCGAGACTTCTCTCATGTACGCTGGACATGTTGTCAGGTGGGACCAGTCCCTGGAGAGGGGCACCATGCTTGGTAAAGCAGAGGGTTAGTGAAAAAGAGGAAGCCCCTCAAGGAGATGGACTGACACAGTGGCTGCAACAATGAGCTCTATCATTGCACTAACTGTGAAGATGGAGAGGACTGGGCAGCTTTTTGTTCTGTTGTACACAGGGTCACTGTGAGTCAAAACACCTTGACGGCATCTAACAACAACCAACAAATCTTTACTGATCTAAAAGCTGAGATGCACAAGAGGTTAAGCAACTCTCCAAGTTCTTAAAGCAGTGAGGGGTGGAGCTTAAACGGGCACCAAACCCTCCAGTCTGGCAGAGATCACATGGTTGTTGATGGTTTTATGTTTAAATGCTTCTCCTCGCCTACCATGAGGACCATGAGCTCCTCTGCAAGCTTTCTACCTCCATATCCAAGGCACCCAGCCCAGGTCCTGTCCACCATGGGCACTCAAGAAACACCTGCTGAATGTAACCTTGACTATTTGACCTCTATAACCTATGGTTATTGCACCACCCCAAACCATCTTCCTCTGTCAGGTATTACAGGGTCCAGGCACTTTAATTTAAGAAGCTGATGACTGCTGTTAATCCTAATTAGAAACTATGACAACATCTCAGTTGAGACCAAAGCTCCACTGGGAACTCACTGCAGAAATTTAATTCTGTTCTCTGGGGAGAGTCCAGGAGAATAAGACTTTTGGCTGTGTACAGAATGGGGTGGGATCGTTTACTTGTCTGAGAAAAGTAATGTGCTCTCATTAGTCAGAGGGGAAAACAAACAACAAAAAAAGCCAGGTTCTGCCTGAAGCAGAACTGTTGGCAAAAGAGCTTAAGCGAAGCAGAATAAGGATGTTGGCCACTGGTTGACATATTACTGACCCACGTATGTAGACTTGTCAGAATGCTAGTCCTAGCTAGAAATAACTACTGCGTCTTTGCCTCTGATTTCAATCTTTAAGGCAAATTAAAGGCTGTGGATCTTGAACCAAATGAGCTGTGAGTCAACATGGAATGCGCTGAAGAGAACTGGAAAACATCTGCTAAGTGAGACAGTAGACAGCATAAAATAAGGTGATTAGGTTTAAACATGACAATTTCATTAATTATAAGAAATCCAAATACTTAATGGACAAAGTACAAGTACTCCATTTACAAGAACTCCTACAAACTATTAAGACGAGAGAACCCAAAGGAAAAGATGGCAAATGACCTGAAAAGAAACTTCCCTAAGAGAAGATCCAGATGGAATAGCCAGAAAGTATAGTGAAAAATTTTCAGCCTCATTTAATAATCAGGAAAATAAAACCATAATATACTAATACACTCTCCCCAGAGAAGCAAAATTTTAAAAGCTGGACAGGACAGAGTGTTACCAAGACTGTGGGCCTTGGGAACTCTCCTACACGACTAGCAGGAGTCTGTATCTGAGACAACATAAAGAAAGATCTCACTATTATCTAGTAAAGGTGAGGTGAACATGCTCTGAGACCCAGCAATTCTGCTCTTAGTTACATACCCTTAGTTATGTGCTAGGAGCTCTGGTAGCATAGTGCCTAAGGCACTTGACTGCTAACCAGAAGGCTGGCGGTTCAAACCCAACAGCCACTCCTCGGAAGGAAGGTTGGGCAATCTACTTCAGTAGTGATACTACCTCAGAAACCCAAGGAGGGGTCACTATGAGTCAGGTCCGAATCAATGGCAAATAACAACAGTTATGTGCTGATGCACATGTGTACCAGAGACACACGGTTTAAGAATGTTTATAGTAATACTGTCCCCAATATCCTAAAACTGGGAACAACCTACATTGTCCATCAACACTAGAATGGACAAATTGTATAGGCATACAATGGAAACTGTCTAACGATGAAAATAGATACATCTAACAACACAGGTTAACATGTTCACTGAAAGACGCAGAACACAAAACAACATGGACAGTAAGATTCCATTAATTTAAAGTTCAAAACTGGGCAAATTAAACTGTAATTTTTAGAGAGCATACGTAAATGGTAGTACTATCTGGAAAAGCAAGAAAATGATTATTCTCAAAGTCAGAAGAGTGGGGAGGGAGGGCTTGAGCATGAGAAAGGGCTCCCAGGGCTTTGGGACGCTCTCAGTGTTCTACTTCTTGACTTCGGTGGTGCTTTCATAATGAATTTCATCCATGATTACTTTTTAAACTGTACATATATGTAATCACTTTTCTGTATGTGTCTTACTTTACAGTAAAACAAAAAATAAAGAAAGGAAGAGAAACATTGAGCAAACTAAAACAGAAACAAAATGAAACAAAAATCCCTGAATTCATCCCTGAAAATCCATGGGTGCATCTGAAAATGGCCAATGTATTCATGTGACACTTAAAATGACTTGTATTGGGCTTAACACATAAATACAGAGAAAGGAGAGAATAAGAAATTGAGGGTGGGGATGGAGGAAGAAAGAGTGAAGACTTATTTGGGCAAAGAAAGACAATGGATTCAGCGGCTTATGCCTAGAACTCCCACTACTGAAAAGCAACCACGTTTCCCTCTAACTTCAGCCTTCAGGACCCAGTACAGGCATCACTTTCTCTGTTAAATGGAATACATTTCTGTAGAATCTCCCATGGCCCTCAGGCAGTTAGTCATCCTGTCTCAAGCATCCCTTTGCATGCTGCACTTCCATCAATAAGCACTTTCCTTGCTGTGTTGTAATGGCTTGCCTTCCCACGAGATCCCCAAAGGCAGTGAGTAATCTCTGAGTCTTGCCCTGCCCTCCCCTTCCTAGCACTTAGACTAGTACCTGACGGTGGGAGATCCCAGCTGAAGCTTTCTGAATGACCAACTAAACTCGAGAGTGCGTTACCTTCAGCTGCAATTCCTTGTATCTCTTGGACATCCGAATGAGCAACTTCTCACCATTGATCACAGCAGATTTTTCTTGGTAATACTGGACCATGGCCTGGGCAGCTTCCGTGTAAGCCATCTCTAAAAAGGCCTAGTAAACAAAGAAGGACATACAATGGACTTCCATACTTTAACCATCTTCAACAAAATTCAGTACAAGGTAATGATTCCATTTTTGTTAAATTCACTGACAGGCAAAACAAACAGATGCTGACAGAAGTCAGAGGTGTGCTTCTCTCTGGGGTGGGGGTGGGGTTGACTGGGATGGAGTACCAGGGAAACAGTCTGAGTTTCTGGAAACATTCTGTATCTTGATCTGGGTGGTAATTACATGGGTGCACCCATGTAAAAAATTTATGGCATTTTCCATTTAAGATTAGTGGCCTTTATGCACTTTAGAGTATATATTTTATACTTCAATAAAAAAAAAAAATTCAGTACAAGGAAGAGCTCTCTTTGATCTCATCTGTTCAAAGAGACCTGTTTATTAACTTCACCAAAAGAGCTCATTATAAGATAGCCCCTCTCCTCATTGCCATGGTTACTACACGGTACTTCTTAATTATGCATGTCCATCCTGGGCTATATTACACCATGGAAGGCCCCCGGGATGGGATGGGTCCATTAACTCCCAGTCCCAGTGTGCCTGTTGCACACGTGGCCCTGGGATGACCCTACAAAGCTTACTGGGTGGAGCCTATGGTGGGAGACAGAATAGAGCCCTGGTTACCTGAGCCCCTACTTTCTTTGCAAAGAAGAGAGATAGTCCAGAAATCAGAGGCTCACCAACCTCCAGGCTCAAGGAAAGGTCATGTCCACGGGAGTTAGAGAGAAAAAACCTGATTGTGTCTACCCTGTTCTAACAAAGCATGTAGAAAGAAAAGGGCTTTTCCATTCAATCTGTCTACAGATTTCTAAGTAGAGTGTTTTGGCAGACCTGTCAGTCTGCCCCAGAAGCTGCTGTAGTAGATTTGTTACTGTGATTGTTTCACAGACTTGTTTGGTTTGTATATTCAGACAACATACTGATTCTGCTCCCTTCTATGCATGGAGGTTTGTGACAATGGAGCCCTCGTTGTAAGCCCCTACTCTCTCATTTCCTTGAACTGAATGAGTATTTCTTGGTAGAATTCATAAAAAGTCTAAACAAGCCCATTCTCCCCACTTTCCTCACATCTATTGTGAATTTCAGCTGTACTGCCTTTCTCCACATGGTCACGGCAGAACTAAGAGGTCAAGATTCTCTAGGGTTTTATTTCCAGTTCTGCCACCCAGCTGTCTATGTGCTTCTTTTTTGATGCAAACGTGTTAGCACCTCGAGCTCTCACCTGTCAAAAGGGAGTAATATTAAGCCAGTGAATCTCATTGCACTCATGTTGCAAGCTGAGTTCTGGATATTCACCAAAATAGAGTTCCTCAGTATTGGGAACAAAGAGACAAGAGAGTAGCCCACGCCCCGTTGAGGGCGGAAGACCACTGATGATCTGGGGTGACTTTCAGTCTCCAAAGTTCATGCCTTGGCTAAGAAAAGAACTTCTCATGCCTGCTCCTCTGATTCAGAAAGGAAAAATACTGATTAAAAGTAAGATATTCTGATTTCTGACCATCCACTGTATACACTCCCCTTTTGACTTCAGAAATGAAAACATATTTAGTCAATTCTCCTGGGTTAAGGGTTCCTAGTTCCTTATACTTAACAGAGATCCATCAATTCCCATTTACTGTTCTGCTCCAACACCCAAGAGCCTTAGAGTCTAACATCAGGAACAATAAAAATACCTGTTCCAACCAGTCCTCGAGTAACTGACTCCCAATCCAGGCTGCTGAATATGAGAAGCTTAGAAGGTAAAACTATGCAGGAGGTTGGCAACCCAGGAAGAGACTCAAGCCCATAGATTCTTATTTTAGGGGTCAGGTAGGTGCTTATGTTAATGAACAGCCACTGCAAAGCACCCCTTCACCTGGAGACAATCCACAAAGGGCTATACCCATCACAAGGCTGAAAAGATAAAAGTGAAACAAAATAGCAACACCACCAAAAGCCTCTGTGCAGTACCAACAGGGGACCAGCTGTGCATCACCTCCTTACGATAAGAACAGCTTCCTTAAACAAAAAAATGAAGTTATATAATTAGCCTCCAATAATTGGGGCCTATCCCAAACATGCTAATGTGAAAGTGTCCAGACCTACCTGATTAGTGGACTTCATGAGGATGTAATTAGTGACTTTCCCAAAGGGCAGCCCCAGGTTAATGACATCATTCTCAGTGCAGCTTCCTTCTGGGAGATTGCAAATGTGCACCACGCGGCCAATGCCTGCTTTACGCTGTGCAAGCTAATGGGAAAAAAGAGCATGACTGGTCTTCAAAAGACATTCCCCTCTTTCCCTCTATTCCTACCGGCTATCTTCCCCCCCCAAAAAATGGTTGCAAAGCTGCCATTTATAAAATAAATGCAGAAAAGAGAATCCATAAAATAAATATCACTGTTTTATGCCATCTCTAAAGATTTGCAACATTTTTTTTTTTAACATAGGGGATTATTGAAGGTGCCAGTAGAGGATTTTTTTTTTTTTTTTTTTTTTTTTGTGATTTGGGTGAAGATTTACAGAGCAGATTCACTTTCCATACAGCGGTTCACATACACTTTGTCTCATGACGTTGACCACAGTTTACCACAATGCAGCAGCTCCCCTCCCACCTCCTCCCCATAGTTACCTCTTCCCAGTGACCATCCCTCCATGCACTCCTGCCCCCTGAGCTGTCTCCCTGTGCATAAGCAGCCCTTCTTTCTCCCATGATTGTTCTCTCCAAGGAGTGTATCTACCTGA